GATTTGCTTTATTGTCTCGTTGCTTTTTTTTTTGCTTTTTTTTCTGAGATAAAGGAATTCATTTCAGAATTGTCTCTTGCTTCCTGATTGGTTTGTCGGAGTTAACTCCTCCTTAATTTCCTAATTGTCCAGATTGTTCCTAGGGGACGCTATCCCTAAATTATATATGAGGACTTTGAGGATCTCTCTCTCTCTCTCTCTCTCTCTCTCTCTCTCTCTCTCTCTCTCTCTCTCATTTTCCAAGAAGTACGACCATGTAAGCTTTCGCAGAAGATACGCGTTCCCACTTGTGGGAAGACGCCATGAACATTACACGCACACACGTACGCACGAACATTCACTCACGCATTTCTTGGAACACAAAACTTTACACAATTATTTGTTACACATACACATTATTGTTTTTGTAATTTGTATCTGTTTGTTAATACACATATAATTATATATATATATATATATATATATATATATATATATATATCGGTCTTGGTTGTTTTCTTTTACATTTCTTTTGGTTGGACTCATTTTGAGTCCGCCATTTTTGTAGTGGACTTTATTTCAGGAGACAACACGTGTTTCATATCACAACGCGTAAAAAAAACACGGTCCGCTACAAGTTCACAGGTGTGACTTATTTGACAATTCCTTTTTCTTCAACTACAATTAGGAATGATGGCCTTTTGACTTCTTTTATTTATTTCTTTTTTTATCTTTTAGTTTTTATTTTATCATGGCAAACCAAAATGGTTTTTCAACTTTTCGTTTTCTTTTTTTTTTTAAATAATGAACTTTTTTTTATTTTTCTATCACTACAAGTTCATTAATGAAAACTGAATGATATCTATAATTGTTTGAAAGAAAAACGTTTATTTACATATTTACAGAAGATGAATACAGCAATAATTTTATCAAAAAGCGAAACATAACAGGCATGCAAAAGAGGAGTTTAAGGTTTTACTTGGTAAGTCAACATGGTCGTCAGCGTCACTATATCATTGATTAAGCTTCGGACATAACATGCGAGTAAAAATGAAAGGGTTTAAGCACCCCTGTTCTCGTTCTGATGTATTGGCTCAAAATAGCCAGACGACTTCATTTTGTTTCAGGGTGTTTCTTATCCTTTGGCATGCATATAAACTATGTGCATAAATTAGAGTTGAGTCAAGGGTAGACAACCAAATTTTGTAATGCTACATTTTCTTTCTTTTCTCAATCTTTCGGCAATATTAGTGAAGTCTGATAAGAATATAAAGCTAAATTTTCCATACGTAAAAAATTGATTATTCATTTATTTCATCAAATTAACGTTAACCAAATCTAGGGTACGTAGTTTGGGATTTTTCTTAGAATTTATTCTTCTTGCCAGAATATGACGGGCGTTTATATAATTTCCTGTTATCTGGTTGTTTTATTTATGTATATCCCAAGTTCAGCAGGGTTCACTTCCTTGTTGGTGCACCTACCGACATCCTTTGAGATCCGAGTTTGAACTTGGTGGTGTTCAGGTTATCTAGGTCCACCTTCGGGGCTCCCAGGTCTTTTGCTTTTCGTAAGTGACACCAAGTATAAAACTTACTTTGGTATCTCTTAGGGTGAATTCAATACATATTGGGATCACTCTAGATCCACTCTTCTTCAATCAAGACATCTGCTATTTCCTAACATACTACTAGTAATAGTTGTAGATCACGTCTGTTATAAACTTCCTTAAATGGATTTAATTTACATCTTTCAACGAGAAAAGAAAACAAATATTCTCTTTAAATTTAAAAACTTGAATGATAAAATTTATGTTTTCTGTCTCTCTGTAATTTCAATAGTATCCACTGGTGTCAAAAGTCAGTGTTTTCTCCTATGTAAAAAAAGCCAGAGTTTCAACTAAGTCTGTATCCCTTCCAGACGCGAAAGATTGGTGTAACACACTCTTGTTCAATTCTCCTCATTTAGCCCCGTACCGTCCTAAACATTATAAACTAATAACAGCAGCTTATATGAAAAGGGAACTTTTTTTTTAAATTGTGGATTAAAACATTTTAAAATAAAATTTTACTTGGTGTTGTAATTGAAATATTTCAAAAGTTTCCGATTTAGATCAAAGTTTTCATTGATTGATTTTGCTTTGTGGCATATTAACCTCTACGGGTTATTTAATGCTGAAATGCAAATATTTTGAACATAGTTTTATGGCTTCAACTACAGATATATGTATTGTTTGTCATTTTTTTACGTAAAATGTATTGCTGGTATTTTTACTATAAAAATGTTTTTTATATTGGCATAGTGTTTGGGGGTTCACTATTAGCCCATATTTGGGACCCTAACAGGTGCTAACACCCCGAGTCAAGGTGGACATGGAAACAACAGCAATTAAGGAGTGGTTCCACACTCCTCAAAAACTCCAATATCCCGATCAGAGACCTTGCCGACAGATATAGTTTATCATCATATCCAAGACTATTGAAGTTTTCTCCATTCAATCAATGAGAATTTTCTCAATTCTATTGAGTTGAACACCTTGAGTTAAGACAAAGAGATTCTCTTTTTCCATAAGTAAATATTTATCAATTTTGTATTCATTGACAGGTCTCAATCCTTATGAATAACAATCTTTGGTATTACGATTAATATTCTATCTATAAAGTTATGGTCTGCATATCACATTATTTTTCATACAGATCCATATAAGTAGTCAAGACAAATAAACGTAGTAATTACAAAAACCAATTTAACCAGAATAACACCAGAATACCTAGCAAATGTATGATTTTGCATTATGAAATATAATAAAATTTTTGAATTTCAAATCTCCTTTTTGTCATCACGTGCTGATATATATGGGAGGTTAAAACAACAATATAGTTACCTAAAATATTTTTTAAACGGGCACTTTAAATAAGTTTTGTTCATAAATAAGCATTTACTAAGCTTGGATTAGTCTGGTACAAGGACACATTTTTGGTTTGGTTTGTTTGTTTAATGACATATCAACTTCTTATGGGTCATTTGATAGTGAAATTTTATTTTCTTATGAGCTTTGGTATTATTTTTTCAAAAAATGTATTGCTGGTAATTTAATGTTTTTTACTATGAAAATGTATTGTTGGTAATTTTTTGTTAATGTATATTTATATTTTCATGTTTTGACCCCAGTTTGGGGGTTAACTATTTGCCCATAGCTTGGACCCTAACAGGTTCACCATTTTGGAGTTATCCAATAAGAATTCAATGTGGTAGTAATCGTCTACTACATAAACTTGTTGACGGTAATTCCATGATAAGGTGTCCAAATTCATTTCTTTTGCCATGTTAACATTTCTGATTTTACCGACCACTACCACCAAAATCTTTTAGATTAGTTATTTTTTAAGCAAATCACTCACATGTAAAAAGATTTTTCCCCGGAAGGTAAATGGGAGAAGTTACAATGTCACCTTTCTTATCCCGATCATAGAAAAAGGGGCATACAATAACAAACATTACTCGAAACTACTCTATGAAATTTGAAAAGAACAAAATTTTATTACGCAGACATTAAAACAATATCACGGCTCTCCATTGCTTCCTATGTTGTTCTCAGTAATACTTTCTTCTTTATGTCCGACTCTCTTGTCTTGCCTTTGGTGTGCGCTGAGTGTTGAATTCTCCAAACCATCTTTCTTCATTATTATTATGTATCCCAAATTTTAGTTGTGTCTTTGGATTGTTAGCAGCAGTTTCTTTATAGATCATAGTTTCTTCCTATAAATTCTTTGTTTGTCACCTTTCATCCATGGTGTTTGCAACATACGTTAGTAGAACCAGATTTCTCTCATTTCATTTCTGATGAAATTGTCTAACATTAGAAAAAATGCCACAGCTGTATTTCAATATCATGTGCATTTGACTGCAATTCTCACCACCTCTAGTGAAAGCAGAAATTGATGAAAGTTAAACATTTCTGGTAAAAGTGTGAAAAACCTTGACAGTTAAATACTAAATTACACAAATTTTATTTAATAGTTTTCAGCATTTAATCTAAATTTTGTGATTTGAAATCAAGAAAGACAAATTGTCTGTGACTAGAGATTACTGGAAGTATGAACTGGTATCTCAACTTCAGCCTCTTTCCCATCACCTTAACGTCGCTCCCCTGTGCTTTTTCTATAAATATTTTCATGGTAATTGTTCTGATGAATTTTCCTTTTTAGTACCCAGACTTTATGAATTTAAGCGCATTACTAGAGTTTGAATTCCAGACATTTCATTACCTTCACTTACGCGTAAATACCCTTGAGAAATGTATGAAGCCATCTCTTCTTCCCTCAAGCTATGGTTTAAATCGTAATACAAACTAGATTTTATTGCCTTGGTTGGCAACCAGACGACCGCAGGAAGAAATAGCAGCCTACTACAGGAAAAAAAAGTGAGCCCTGAATCGAAAGAGACATGGTCGTCCAAGTATGGATTACATATCGCACTTAACTGATTGATGACAAGGTCTCATCATATTACAGTTGAAATGGTTAGATGTAATTGTAAGTTCTATGCTAATAGTTTATTATCTTGTACTTCTTGCTTGTGGAACTCTCTTCAGGCATCTTGTTTTACAGTCAACTTTGATATTTAAAAATTTAAATGGAATATCAATCGTTATCTTCTGTATTCTTAATTCTCGTTCATTTATTCCCCTCTCTCCCTAATAATCAGTAACCTTTTGCATCTTAGTGACTTTGTTGCCTTGTTTGGGGTGAAATGGTTAAAAAAAAAGCATCATTGATATAATAGGGCTAATATATGAATCATTTATTGTACAAAGCCATACAGATGTAGCAGCTAATGGCTTCTAATAATGGCTTGTAAAACTAGCATAATAAATTGACTATTATTAGGTTAGTTTTAAGTAGGAGTTTAATGCATTCAGTGCCAGAGGATGTTAACGTTTTCAACATTATTTTTTTGTTAAGAACTTAAAAAATAATTTTGGCCCTGAAGTTGATAAAAGGTTAACAAGTCAAAATAGCTTAAGCATGAATAATGCCACAAGCCTCTTGATCTTTAACTCTCTCCCATAATCCACATATACTTGTCTCCTGCACATAGATAGATAGATAGGAATCAGACTGAGATAGATAGATAGATAGATAGGAATTAAACTGAGATAGATAGATACATATGAATCAGACTGAGATAGATAGATAGATAGATAGATAGATAGGAATTATATCATTCTGCTTTCACTTTCAGTTTTTTGTGCGTATACAAGTTTGTGTGGACATGATTACTAGAGGTGTAGATTAGTGTTTTATTTTGTAGTTTTGTTGAAGTTATATTTTGGAATACAGTTTGATTTAAGAAATTTTTGGATATAATATGGATTAATGTAATGAAAGTTCATTCATGTTGGTTGTTTGGTAAGAATGTAGATAAAATTCAGGTGAAGACACTATGATTTGTATATATGCATATTATTGGTAATTTTACTATAAACATGTATTATTAGTAATTTTATATAAAAATGTCTTGCTGGTATTTTAGTATAAAAATGTATTTTTTATACTTTCATAGTGTTTTGTTTGGGGGTTTACAATTTACCCATAGCTAGAACCCTAAAAGGTGCTACCACCTCAGATCAAAGTGGACCTGGGAGCAACAGCAATTAAGAGATGCATATCAAAACCTTCAATCTCTCAATCAGAGACCCTGCTGCCAGATGTAGTTTATCATCATACAAAAGATTAATGTCAAGAAGATTTTCTTCTCTGTATTTGAACCTTTCAGCATTCATATATCACTTCATAATTTGTTGTGTACATAAAATCATGTTTAATGCTTTGTGCATGTTTCTTACTCATTTCACCCCCAAGCAAGGCAGTAATGTCACTAGTACACAGAGGGTTGGATGGAGTGAAGGTGAAAGAGAAGACTAAGAATAGGTAGGATTGGGGAGAGGACAAACGAGAGTGATTGATGTTGCATTTAAATTTTTGAAGATTGTAGCTATCAGGAAAGCAAGTAAACAAAAGGGAGTTCCATAGATGGGAAAAGAAACTTTTGGAGAAGTGGTGGTGGTTGTCTTTAGCTATTTCAATAGTAAAAAGGTCTAGCAACACATTTAAATTTATGTAATCAGGCCACCAGAGAAAAAAAGCTTGTCAGTTGCCATGAAAATATTTGTAGAAAAGAAAGAGGGAACCTATATATCAGTGAGAAAGTGACTGAAGATACTGGGTCAGGATTGATTACATCACAGACAAATCTTTGGATTTTGTCAAGAATCTTGAGATGAATAGCAGGAGCACCAGACCAGATATGGCAACAGTATTCAATGAACAGGTGAATGGTAGATCTGTAAATGTACAAGATGGAAAATTTTCTGAGACGACACAGTGACCCAACTTTCTACTTCATGTCAGCGGAAAATGTGAGGCTAAGAAGGCATAATGTGTTGCATGTGTGAGTGAACCAAAATGAATTATCTCAGCATTTGAACTTATACAAATAACCATTCTGTAATTCATATCTTATCAAAAAGGCACCTACAAAGAATAACTCTAGTAAAAGATCCCCCAAAATAGTTCTGCTGACAAGAAAGTACACAATAATAGATAAATTATTTGCACCAAAAATTGAGGCAACAGCCCAACTTTATAACCAGTAGGAAAAAATATATTCTAATCCTTCAGTCAGCTAAAATTGAAGCAAAATAAAAATTTCATTGTATAATGCAAATGAACCTTTTTGCAATGACTGAAAAAGTCTGGTATTTAAAAATGTCATTTTTCTTTATTTGATGGTGTAATCTTGATCACAGATGATACATAGGAGTGTATTCTTCTTCTATATGCTGTGTGACTTCAGGATGTGGGCGATCATGGCTGTACATAACTTCCTGTCCTTTGTAGCTCTAAGTAAGGCTTGTCTTTTTGCTAATTGCTGTTTTTCCAACAATCTACATAAGCTTGTTAGGTAGATTGTTTGCTGCTTTCCATCTTGTCTTCTTTATGTCCTGTGAGTGACAAATTCTCTAAGCCTGCTTTTCTCATTGTGTTCCCCCAAAATTTCAACTGTCTCTTTCTGATTTGAAGGAGGCGTTCATTTTGCTTCCATTGTCTCTAATACTTCATTGTTGTCTAATTCTAAAAATGTAAAGTCCCTTTAGAACATATGCAATCATAGCTCTCCAGATTACTTTTTCTTTACTATCTGCAATTTTCTAGGCCTTCTTGGAAAAGATAGTGGAGAAAGTTTCCTCTTGCTTTCTCCTTTGTCCATGATTTGCAATTTAAAGTCTTCTTTCTCTTAGACTGGTTGCCACCCAAGAATACAGAGCACAGTTTACTCTTCTATTTAACCTGTAACTGTGGGAGTAAATAATATATATATATATATATATATATATATCTTTCTCCAAGTATATTTATGGCAAGAGTTAACATAGCAGGATAGGCCAGTATTTGAACCTGGCTAGCTAATTCCACTTTCTCTGCTGCTACCCACACATCTAAGAAATTGAAAACTATAACAAAACAAATATTTCAATTGATATCCTATAACCAACAAAAGTTTATGAATTAATTCAGATCTAACCCAAGAAAAATTAATGTTTCTTCATTACAGGCAAGCCAAGTAATTTTGTGAGGATGGTGAAAGGGTCAGGGGAAAATAGGGATTGAATTATATTATCTTGCAATCAGAATTAAATTTAACACATTCAACCGTCCTGGATATGTCGATAAACTATATCCGGCATCAAGGTCTCTGATTGGGAGGTTTTTAGGAGTGTGGAACCAACTCTTAATTGCTGCTGTTTCCAGGCCCAATCTGACCCAGGGTGGTAATACCTATTAAGGTCACAGCTATGGGCAAATAGTTAGCCCCCAAACTGGGGTAAAAATGAAATTATAAAAAGCTCTATAGGGAAAATAGCAGCAATAGATTTTCCAAGTAAAAATTACCAGTAATATAAAGAAATTACTAATGCTCCCAAGAAAATTAAATTTCAACATTAAATGACCCCTAAGAAGTTGATATGCTGCTAAACAAGCACAGTGTTCAATAACATTAAGGTCTGCCTTTTTAAAAGTTTCACTAATGTGGTCTCCATTTTGTCATCCATAATGATGTAACTTTACTGCTTATTTTCCATTAATATTATTTAAACTCCAAGGAATGCCCATTGTTCTATTCTTGGTAGAGACAGATTTGTGCTAATTGTGACACATTGATGTTCTTAAGAAAGAAGGGAAATTCTCTGTATTTGCATACAATAAAATATACAGAATATAAAAATATTTTAGCTACTTTTTTTCTGAAGTATTTTTTAGGTCATCTGCTTTTCATATTTCCTTTGGTTGACTGAATAGACAAAGTTTTTTTTTCATAAGAATGGAATAATATTTTATGAACTACTGTTTCAAGCACAATATTTTTCCAGAACATGTCCAGACCACTTTTTTAGCGTTTGAGCAAAAAAAAAACTAAAACCATATAAAGATAGAAAATTTTTTCCTCATTCAAGAACTGGCCCTTTTTGTCTTAAGGTCACTAATTGGTTGTCAGCCCAGAAAATACATCAAATCTCCATTAATTATTAATGTAATGGTATTAATGGTTGTAACTTATATTGGAAAAATTGAACTTAATAAATCACCCAAAATCAAACTTTCTTTGTAATTCTGTTTGCAGAATCAAATATTTGACATAGAAGAGATTAATGCTTGAAGCCTGTGACCAACTTCACCTATTTGAGGAGCAGTTATATTAAATAAGGCAGTGAAAGCTGAATATGAAAAAAAAAAAAAAAAAAAATGGACATAGCCAATTTCTTTCTTCAAAATAAAAAAAGATACAAAAATTAATAAAAATATGCTTAATGAGAAATTACTTTTTTTTATTCAAGCATGAAATTCCCGGTTTTTCTTTTCAGGACATGGAATAATTAAGAAAATGAGAACACAACTTTGTAAAAAAAGCGTAATAAATAAAAAAAGAAACAAAACAAAAAACATCCTAAAATATACACACACACACACACAAAAAAAATACATCTGCAAACAAAACCCTAACACAAACAAAAAAACACATAAGGAAACGAAAAAAAAACATAGAATTAAAAAAAATTTCAGATAGGAGGGTGGGCTGAAAAGTCCAAAGGCTGACTATGAAGAAGTGATGCTAGAGTTGTGAAATCTTGCATGCATTAATTTCAACCTTTCTTCTTAATAACTGCATTGTTTCTTTCCAAGTAAACAGATATCTGACCATTTAAAGAGGGCTTCAAAAGTAACTAATAGTGACCTCTTGAAAATGGACAAAATTTGGCATTGTGTTGTTATCAAATACATGCAGAAAAAGGGTTTATCTACATTAGGGGATAATGTTCCAGCTTTATCAAGAGTGCATAGGTGGGCAGATACATTTGGGAGGGGAAGGAGTGTCTTGAAGATGACCCAAGGTCTGGGCCTCCTGCAGCTACCACCACCAAAGAAAACATTGATTATGTTCCTCACATGTTGATGCATGACAAACGATTGACTATAAATCAAACAGCCAATGCTATTAGCATATCCTGTGAAAGTTGAGAATATTTTTCACAATGAAATTAAAATGATGAACGTTTCTGCTTGGTGGGTGCCACATCTTCTGACATTTGATCAAAAGCAAATCAGGCTGATCACATCACAGGAAAATCTGACATTGCTTGAGGTGGATCCATTCAGCTGGTTTCCTTGAATGTTTCCTAATCCAGGATGTGTGTTGGGTTCATCCCTTTGTGCCAGAGACAGAGAGAATCCATGCAGCGGAAACACTCCTCCTCACCTGCTGGAAAGAAGGCCAAGGTCATTGCATCTGCAGGAAAGATTATGACTTCAGTTTTTTGGGATGTAAAAGGCATTGTGTGTATTGACACACCATCAACTTTGCCAACTTTCTGAGACTATCAAGACCAAATGACCAGGAAAACTGACAAAATGGTTCCTGATTCATCAGAACTATGTTCCAGCTTACAAGTCCTTGATTTCAATGGCTAATGTGCTTTGAACTGGTTGATCACCTATTCTCCTGATTTTTTCCATATGATTATCGTCTGTACCCTAACATGAAAAAAAACTTGGCTTAGAACCAGCATCACAGTGATGATGACATCATAATTGCTATTGATGACTTTTTTGACCAATAAGATGATAGCTTCTTCATAGATTTGATCCAAGCACTGCAATACTGATAGAAGAAGTGTGTGGACTGTAAGGGGGGGGGCTGTTGAAAAATAAATCTCATTTGATCACATTCCATGAACGTATCTTAGTCAGCCTATGAACTTTTCAACTATACCTCATAAATAATAGAATATTGCCATAGATAAGGTGATGTTTTAATGTGACAATCAACTCTGAAACAATACAGATCATGTCCATTTAGCTCAGCAATTTGTACCTTAATGGATTTTATTATCAAATACAGTTTGATCATTAATTTCTATTGAGGAAAAGCTGGCTGTTGCAGTAACAAAACTTTACCCTTGTGACGACACTTATTAAATGTTCCATTCATGGTAAAAATTGGTTCTTTTCAGCTAAGTTGCAGATTAGTATTTTCTTGAAAGCAAAGACATCAGGTTATATATACAGGATGCAATGGTTAAATTGCCACCATTTTATATTTTTAATTTCATGGATGCACGTTTTTTGCACACTATAGTAATTTCAGTTGGGCACCGTCTTTGAGAAAGAGAGCACCATAATGCAATTCACTCCACCAGAATTTTGGAAATGGCACATTGTACTGCTTGGCCTTTGCACTGGAAGTTCCGAAGCAAATATTTCAGTATTTGGGTGTCAATCTGAGGACAGTGCCAAGGATTTGAAAAGAATTGCATGTGTCTAATGGTGATTACAAAGGTTTTTGGAGTGATCACAGGTGATGGCGAAGTTAAGCCTCTATTCATCTTCCCACAGGGTCTCAGTCTCAATACGTAGGCCTGAATCAAGTGCCTTGAGGAAATAGCGCTGCCCTGAATCAAGAAGGCATCTGCTGGAAGGCCCTATGTCTGGCACCAGGACTCTGCACGATGCCACACAAGCAGGCAAACCCAATTATGATTTCTGTGACTACATCATCCCTTACTTCTGCTCACCTAACTCCCCAGATTGCAAACCTCTTGTGGGATGCAGTTGAGCAAGAGACCAACAAAACTCCTTGTAACATCAAAATGAACTGAAGGCAAGGATTATGGCATCATTTACCAACTTAAACAAGGATGCTGTCCTGAAGAGTTGCAGGAGATTCTGAAGTCGTCTGGAGGCCGTGATTGAAGCCAATGTCAATTTTATTGAATAAATTTACTCTGTAGTATTTCAAGATATCTTTGTGTAATTTTGGTAAATATATTTGTTAAAATGAGATGCCAGTGTTATTTTCATTTTTGTGTAATTTAGATGACAATTTATCCATCTCACCCTATGTGTGTGTGTGTATATATATATATATATGTGTGTATATATATATATATATATATACACACACACACACACATATACATATTGTGATTGCCACATCTTACTCAGAAGAGAGCTGTCTCATTACCCTTTGTATCACTTGTAATGTCTTCTGTCTTGTTTTGGCATCCATGGCCCTTAAGATGCCTGTTGAGACCAGCATTTCATTTCATTTCATAATTATCATGCATATATGACAGATCCTGTATCTTTGATTAAATTATTTGGCCTACAACTCTCCTGCACCTTTTCAATCCAGATGATCTGCAAATCTTCTTGCAAACACAGGTATTGTTGCCAGGACGATGAAGCAAGTTGGCATAGTTGTCTTGCTTGTGATTGTTATGGTGACCTTTCAGATGGTTTGCATAACCTGTCCTCAACAATAGCATGTGCTCTCTCACACACACACACACACACACCATATTTCCAAGACTGGATATTAGTTGGCAAGTCAGAGTGAATGTCACTTCTTACATCATGCTTGATCTGAGCATGCCTGAGACATTCATCCTCAAAGGCATTGCATCCCTCCTTTATAAAGTACCTCCACTCTGTACGATTTAAATCCATGTGCATTCAGAATATCCTTCAAATTATCTTCAAACCTCTTTTGAGATGTGTGTTGGGAATGCTTTCCTGTCTTCACACACATTATATATATATATATATAATTTAAGCTCTACTTTTGTATTGAGAACTGTTTTTTAAAAATAAAAACAAAAATACTAAAGAACTTTGGATTATTTACAACATGTTCTTTCCTATTATTTTATATATTTGCACACACACATACATACATATATAAAATACTATGACAAATTGGGAAAAAGTTTATGTGACGCCTTTCATCTGATTGGGGATGAAACGTGACACAAAAACTTTTTCAACATTTGCCATACTGTTTTTATATATATATACACACACACACACACACACACACACACATATATATATACACACACACATACATAAATACATACATACATACACACACATTTATACATATATATATATATACACACAAACAAAATTTCAGTTTTTTTCCATGTGATCATTCTGATCTGTCTCATTTTTGTTCAGAGTTAATTCTTAATAAAAAGAATAGAAAAATACACCAAACACTAAATTATTTTTATGAGACAAACTTCCATTGTATATTATTTTTTTAAAATATTATTATTATTTTTTTAAATAAAAAAATAGCATAAATATTGATACACACACCAAAAAATCACACTGAGCAAAATTTTTGATTAATAATTGTTTTATTATAAAACAGTTTTTATCCTTTCTTTTGAAAATAAACAAATGCATGTTTGGTTGATTGATTTGTTGGCTTCATCATAATTCATTGTATTTTTTTAATGAGAGTCTTGGAGTGATATTCATTGACTGAAGTTCTTGAAACAAAAGTTTGCAAGCATAAGGCATCATTAGAGTGGAAACATTCTCAGAAGACTTGCAATATTGGCACCTGGAAAAAAAAAGAAAACTCAATTAGTAATTGAAAGAAAAAAATGTTTTCACAAGGGAGCAGATTCACCCCTATTCAAACATTATGATATAAGGAATAGTTTAATTTCAGTACAGAGCCTATAAATTAATGACATCGAAAATATTGTTCTTGAGATTAGAAACTACAAAAACAAATGAATACGTCAATAATTTAGGAATAATTCAAATAGTTCTATCAAAATAACAGGTCGAATAATTTTAGCATAGCAATTTCTGCAATTTTGATTTTTAATCTTTGAATCATTGTCTCAAAAATGCACAATATTCTAAATATAAAATGTTTTTGATCACATTATGCTGCATGTTCACAAGGAAGAACTAAACCTGAATTGCAAGAAGAATGCATAGTTGTTAGCAAAAGGAGCAGCCCAACATTCAAATTACAAATTGGAGATACCAAAATCAAACAAGTAGAAAAATTTAAATATCTGTGAAGTGTTTAACAGAGGACAGAAAGTATGACAGTAAAGTCCAAATGTGTACTGGGATAGTGAAATATGCCTTCCAAAACCTAAACAAAGTATTAAGAAACAGAAAAATTTACTTAGAAACAAAGAAAAGAGTACTGAACTGTTATGTAATATCAGTCCCCAGACCAGTCAAAGATGAAGAAACATGAAGCAACAGAAATGAAATGTGGTTCTACAGAAGGATGTTGAGAATACCATGGATCAAATATGTGAGCAACAACAAAGTTTTAGAGAAAATGTAAACAAAAAAGACCCTTATGCTTAACATCAGAAAGACAATTGAAATTTTTAGGGCACATAATGAAGAAAGAGGGCTTGGAAAATTTGATACTCACAGGACAGATTGAAAAAAATTTTTTATTAATAATTGTTTTATTATAAAACAGTTTTTATCTTTTCTTTTGAAAAACTAATGCATAAAAATGCTCAGTTGATTGATTTGAAACAGAGGAAAATAATGTGTAACCTACCTAGTGAGTTTAAATAAATGGATGGCAGAACAGGGTTTAGGAGTAATAACAAAAATACTAAATTTATTTTTATTAAGAGCTACAAAGGACAGGAAATTGTGGGGAGCCATGATCGTCAATGTTTTGAAAGGACACTTCACATGGAAGAAAAAGATTTTTAATTAAAAATATAATGTAGTTTTGAATTTCTAAGAATTTGGAAATCTAATGATGAAAACAGTACAAGTTCATTGAAAAAGTAGAGAAAACTAGTCAAAGATGTCAAGTTCTGCAGTGTAAATTTACCTAGAAATCCTTAAAAAGAATTGAAAAATATACACATTAACATATAGTGGGGAAATGAAAAAAAATTCTAGACAAGTGAATACAGATAAAATTAATACAGAATATTAAATGACATTACAAAGAGAATGAAAGCTTGTCCATAAATCTGTTTCTTTTTGGTCTATCATAAAATATATTTAATTTTCAATGCAAAATTCATGAAGACAAAAAGAATTGCATCTCAAGTTTAATCTATAAAAGAAAAAAAGTTATACATTTTTACTGTACTATCATTTTTTTCTTCCTTCTGAAAAATTCTTTACAGAAAATCCAGCATTAAAGAATGTTGTATGCCAATGAATAATTAACTTACCATCCTGAATAGCCAATAAGCCCACATGTTCCACAAATATCTACATGGAAAGCATCACTGGAAATCATCAAACGTTCCAAGAGCAACATGCTAAAAGAAAGAGCAAAAATTAATTACACAACATGACTTGTACAAGATTTATAATTCTACATATAAAAGGAGAGAGATCAATTAAACAAAGTTAGCATTGTATGTAGTGAAAGCCAGATTAAATTTTACAAGTGCTCTAGAAATACTGCTTTATGAGAGTTTAACTTCATCAAACATTTATTCTGATGAGTAAGGAAGCAAGATGGAAGGAAGGCACAGATTATTTCTAATCAGTAGAAATAGTTTTTGAAGAAGATATATGCTTTTGATAAAAATAAAAATATATTTTTTAAAAAAGGACCTCTATATTGCACATGGCATTTTAAATAATTACAATTTCATAGAAGTTACTCACCTGGCTCCATAACCAATCAAACAATCTCTTTCCATTTCTCCAAGTCGAAGACCTCCTTCACGTGACCGTCCTTCTGTGGGCTGACGAGTGAGAACAGCTCGAGGTCCTTTAGCACGTGCATGCATTTTATCTAAAACCATGTGCTTCAGTTTCTGGTAGTATATTGGTCCAAAATAGATGTAAGCAGACAAAGGTTCCCTGAGGCAAAAAAGAAATAGTATCAGTAAAGATTATTGATCTTTTTTTTAACTATTACAATGAAGAATAATTAGAAATGAAATACTAATAAATAAACTGAACTGTCAGAAAAATTACAGATGGCAGTATACTGGATGTTTTTCTTTCTTCTGACTTGTAGACATGAACACAGCTAGATGATGTGTAATAGGAAAAGAGGTAGTGTAGCTATGACAGCCACAGGACATGTACAGGAGTTAACACTGTTTAATTATGGAGTGATTTAAGTGCTCCATCTTTTGAACTCTATCTCAGATGTGGCAACTTTAGCAAAAGTGTATTAGGAATATGAATTTTACAGGTGATGTATGGATGGAACTGCCAAGAATGGCAAGCACCAAAGAAATGAGAGAACATTTTATCAAATTACATTGCAACTCCACATGGGTGATACTCAACTCGCTGTTCAGCATAGAGATTTCACTGTTGTTGATACCAGAACATCAGTTACTGTACCTCATTTGCACCAGAGAACATTAATATTAGAATTTAGAAGAGTGGCATCATCTTGCTTAGGTAGATGGTACAGAGGTAAATGTACAAGACAATGGATCCAGCATGTCAGCAGAAGGTTGTGCAAGGTTGGAATGGTGTTGGAATATTCTGTTAGAATTCAAAAGGAACACTCATAAAACTGGAATTGGTCATGACAGCCTTTTGCACCTCTTTTGTCATATTTCTTACTGGTTAGGGCTTTATCCCAACAAGATTAACAAAATGTTTTCATAGGTGACATAAAACTGGTTCCAGGAACACTTGGCTGACCTCCAGTGGTACCTATACTAACCAGATTTAAACTTCATTGTACAAGACATGTTGCAGATATCACTAAATTCTGTGCAGCCACACTCAAGGTTATGGACACTAGTAGGACTTTGTAAACTTCATACCACATCATACAGCAGCTGTTATTTAAGCAAAGAAAGAAAGTATATGTCATTAGGTAACTGCTCCTAATTTTTTAGCACTTCAGTTTACAATAACTGTAATTTAATCATTCACTATCATGAGATGAGTTTTATTGTATCTCACTGTAATGACTAAACATTTTGACTGTTTTTTAGTTTCATTAATTTTAGCTGTCAATTCAAACATTTATTCAAAAATCTCTCTAAGGGTGAGAGTAAAATTCAGGAATAATTGCCTCATGAATAAAAAATATAGAACTCTTACAGTATCAATAACTCTCCCAAAAGTTTAAATTCAAAACACAAAATGACATTTTGATTCTTACATGTCAGTAGATTCTTTTTCTTTACTTTTACATTAAGTTTTGCAATTTTCTGGCAGTGCTTTTCAGATTCTCTTAGAAAATGTGAAAATAATGTTTTAAGTGAATAAAAATAATCTCTTTTTTCTATGCTTTTTATATTTATTCCTTCAAAAGTTAAATCAGAAATTGTTCTCTTAAAAATCTCAATGTATCACATTATTACTTAATTTATAAAACTAACAAATGATACAAAATAAGATAACACAAAAAAAAACATTTTATAGTTGGGAAAAATACACATAAATCTAATATTTAATGAGAGAAATGAGTTTCTCGCTTGGATATAATCAATGGACATTTAAGGTGAAACATGTTATGAGGGAATTATTGTTCCAGTCACTCACTCACCCTGTAATACCAGAAGTGACAAAATCTTTCCCAAGGTAATTGAATCCATGCCTGATAAGATCTTCACTGAGGTCTGCCACTTTGTCACCACCAAAGGCTATCAAAAAAAAAAAAAAAAAAAAATCAACAGTGTTACATAGGACAACTATAATAGATAAGAAATTTATCTCATAGACCAACTTGCAAGTGTAGAGAGTTTGCTCATCACAAGGTGTCCAACTATTGCAGTCTTGTACCAGACCAATTTTAGTTAATATCAATACACATTGTAGGAATCTACTTTGTACGCACCATTAGCACCAGTGGTCAGTGATATTAATAATGCCAAAATCTCAAATGCTGATTTTGAAAGCAAGAAGGCTCTTCATGGTCAGAAGATTGGGACAACACAATCTTCCTATTTCTCCCATTTGACTTCTTCTATATGCTGTGTCCCTTCAGGACATTGGTGATCATGACTCTTTTGTCTTTTTGCCATCTCTCCCAAACCCTGCACTGCTATCCATTCACTCAAACTCATCAGGTAGGTTATATGTTGCTTTCATCTGTCTTTCTTACCTTCAATCTGTCCTGTGAGTATCAAATTTTTCATGCCATCTTTTCTTATTATGTACCCCAGAAATCTCAACTGATGTTAAGCAAAAGTGTCCTTTTCGTTGCCATTATCTATCTATCTATAGAACTTTGTCATTGCTCGTATTTTCAGTCCATGGTATTCTCAGCATCCTTCTGTAGAATGACATTTCTGTTGCTTCAAGACTCTTCTTCATCTGTATGGAGATTGTCTTGCATTCACTGCTGTACAGAAGTACTGATATCACATAACAGTTCAGTACTCTTTTCTTTGTTCCTAATGTTTCTTAATACTTTGATCAGCTTTTGGAAGGCATCTTTCACTATTACAATACACCTTTGAATTTCTGTGTTGTGCTTTCCATTCTATGTTAATACACTTCCCAGATATCTAACTTGTATTTGTTTGATTTTGGCATCTCCAATTTGTAATTTGCATGTTGTGTTGTCCCTTTTGCTAACAACCCTGCAGTCTTCGTGCAGTTGATGTTTAGTACTTTCTTTTCACTTTCCTTCACTAACTTCTGTAGGATTTCTCATAGTTTCCTTTCTATGTCTGCTATTGTCACTGTGTCATCTGAATATCATAACATTGTGGCTGCCAACAATGAATCCTGGTAGGACTTCTAATTCTCTCAGAATGGGTTGACTGTATAGGTTGAAAAAACAGATCCTTGTCTTAGACTCCTTTCTATTTTTGTGTATTTACTGAACTAATTTCCTATCCCTATATAGGCAGTCTGTTACCAGTATAGGTTGTAGATTATTCTAATATCCTTCCCAAATATGTCAAGCTTACCTTGCAGTTCAAACAGTTCTTTGTAATTTAGATTATGCTTTTGCTTAATCTATTAAACATATGTATATCTCCTTTTGCAGTTATATTGCTCTTTCTGATATTATTCTGAATATAAACATGGCATTCCTTGTTCCAGTATCTTTAATGAACCTGCACTGTTCTTGTCCTATTTCTGGTCTGATTCTGCTGTGTGCTATATTCATTTAAATTCAGATGATAAGTTTTGTTACTTAGCTCATTAGAGTAAGGTATATAAAGTCTACTTTAGTTCAATTCCACTATTAGGTATTAAAGAGCTAAAATATCATGAAAGAAGTAACAATAAAAATGTTGGTCAAGAGAACTAAGGAGTGAAAATGTTTTGTTCTTAAATCAAAATCTTTATTATTCACCTGTTCCATAATGGAACTTGCCATCCAGAACACCTGCTTTCCCACCAAGCAATTCCATGAGTTTTCCCACAGTCATTCGAGAGGGGTAACCATGTGGGTTCATGATCTGCAATTGAATTTTAAAGGCAGAATAAAATCTTTACACAAAATAGGATCTTTCATTTTTGTTTTCTAAATTATTACCTTGCTAAAAATAATTTGAAAACTCCATTAAATAAATAAAAAGTAACTTATTACATTCCTATAAGTTACTTTAGTCTTGGTTAAGTAGTAATGTTTTATATTCTTGTAAAAATACAAATAAAACAAGTTATTTATTTGAAGAAGCAGTTACAAAACAAAATAAGTGAAGTGTATGACATACTAATACTAAAATAAACTGTGTAGGTATATTTAGCAAATGGTGACAACCAAACAAGACAAATTATTACCATTTTTCTAAGAGAGCTGTAGCCTTTATTGTAAGACAGCAATACTAAATTATTTTTTTTATATTTTCTGCATGACTAATCTTGGATTTTTATCTACATTATTAACTCTATTGTCACAGGTAAGAAAGAATTCTTCTGTTTAAGTTATTAAAAGTATTTAGAGAAAACTGACACAAAAGAAAAGAAAAAGCAATGTATATTAACTAATGAGATATTCTATTGTTATGAAGACATGAATACATTTGTTTATTGGTATCAAATAATGCCTCTTGTTACCATAACAACGGAATATCTTATTAACAAGGGGATATTAATTCATATTGTGTGTTATATAGAAAATGAACACATGCACGCAACTGCATCAAAAAGTCTGTAACCTTTGTTGTAACTATTAGCTAAATTTTGATATGACATTTTCACTGCATAAAGATTCATCTATATGATTAATATTCACAGCTGAATTAAGTGCCTTGACAAGGAATGAATGTATGTGTAAAAGTTACAAATAAAATATCTAAAAAAAATGTGGCTCAAGAAATAAAATATCAATTTAGAATTGAGATTCTTTAATGCATAAATCCTGAAAACTGATAATTGAAATTTTAAACTGATAAATGAAATTTTAAACTGATAATTGAAAAGAAATAAAAAAAAATATTATTACTGTCACTACTGAAAAAAATTTTTAATTTTTTATTTATTGTTATTGAACTTTACATCTCATCACCCGAATGCCTAGAACATCATCTTTCCTGGAATTTTTTAGTAAGTCATTTGGAAAATAGATAGTTGTTAAAATAAATGAAGCAAGATAATATTTAAGTGATGTCAGTTGGTGTGGGGTGACTAGAAAAATATTAGTTACACTTCATTTCAGAAATAATAAGATATGAAGCCACAGTTGACTGAGATAAGGCTATTATGAGATTATAAAAGTGCTTAGATGTTACATATGGCAATATTCCAACCATTCTACTTTAGTGTTGCAATCTGACTCTTGGATGATGACCAATTTTATGCAATGTTGACCAATCAAATAGTCTGGTAAACATCTGTTTGGGAGTTTACCATGTTTTGAGCTTTGGAATATTTAGATATTGAAAATGCTTACAAAAGGTTTTTTTGGTTATGAGAGTTTTTTAAGCAATGAAACTCATGATGCAAGACATACATTAAACAGGATGAAATATAGGAAACTGACCAAAGTTTGATATGAGATTTTCACTGTATAAATTTTGATCTATGTGATTAATATTCGCAACTGAATTAAGTGTATGTATGTGTAAAGTAAATAAAAATATATCCAGAAATAATTTGACTCAAGAAATAAAATATCAAACCGGTTCATTATAAAAATAGTGTTGAAGAAAATACACTAGTCACCTACAAGGAAAAACACTATTTTTCACAGGATCTTTTTATCTTGATCTTTATGGCTTGCAATAGTGGTTCTAGATCGTCTAGAAAACAGAATCAGGTCGTGTAAAAACATTTTGAATTTTTTTTTTCTAAGAAATTAACATTTATTTATAGCAGGCAGCAGGAATTGTTTGAAACTGACAATTTTACTTTGTTTCCTTTTTGTCATTTGGTTTCACTGCAAGTAAAACAAGGCTCACAAAAAGGTGAACAGTTAACAAAAATTTAAATATTCAGTATCTTGCAACTCTGCTATTTCATTTCTTTTCATCTAAATGATAAACAAGAACTATGTCTAATGAAGAACGTGAAGGTCTGTTTAAAAATATGAAATATAAAAGTCATTAAGTATTTCATATATAATGGAATCAGAAATAAAACTACATTTATCAAAAACATAGGTACCTGCACTTTTTCACTAAAAAGCAGCTTAGCAATATGAAAAAAGGATCACAAACTTGATGAAAATAAAGTTTTATCATCAAAATGTTTATGTTATTATTAAGAGGAAAGGCCAAAGTATTTATTTTATTATTTTATTAATTTTTTTAATCCTTTCTAGCAAGTTCAAAATTTTTGTTAAAAATCTTGTTTTATTTTTTGTGTTAGCGGTGGGTCAAATATTAACATGGGAAATTTAGTGCCATTTTTGAAATTCTTGCAAAAATCAAATTGTCAGATTTGAATGTGATTTTTAGGACTTATAGACAAATGAATGAAATTATTTTTGAAATTATTTTTTTTTGAAAATCTTGAGAAAAAAATTTTTTTTTATAGCTGTTACCCCCACTTAATTTTTTTAAATTTTGAGAAATTAAATTTTTGATCCAGATATATTTGTTAAAAGCAGGAATCCTCAGAGAATGTAATCATTTTTTTTTTTTTCAAATAGCTACTTATTTGCCAAAAATCTGCTCTGAATTGTAAAATAAAAAATGCAATAAAACTATATTATTTCATTAGAAAAGCTTTTTAAAATCGTAAACTAACTCAAAGATGGATGACTTTGACAATGTTACTGGGGAAAAAAAGAAAATCGATTTCAATCAATATAATTTCTGTTTAAAATACAGTAGTGTATTTTGCTTATTGGAAATAGTAAATTTAATCATTTAGGTTTCAATTAAAGCTACAGAGAAAGCTTTTTCATTTTTAAAAATTAATTTATTTTAAACCTTAGGTATCGCAATTTTTGTGGAGGTACCTAAATTAACATATTAATGTATTTATCATAATTACTAAGTTTTGGGGAATGGAGCCTCTTATGTTTACTGATGAGTAAATGCTTATATTGATAATGCTTTCATTTATAGTATTTCTTTTATACAAAACTGTTCACACATGATTTTCAGTGATTAATTTGTTTTTTTTTTTACTATTAAGTTTTTCAAGTTTTTAGATTGTAAAAATACATTTTTTTGCAAGTGAATATTGCTCTAAGAATTTTTTGAGAATATCAATGATTTTTCCAGATACTAATCTTACTCTATAACCCATAACTAGGGGAGGTGATGGATTCCTGTCTTTTCCAATGGTGTAAGTGAATGTAATGAACACAAATTCAAACTCAGCTTTTCAATTTCTCATTGAAAGTTGCTATTAAGTTCTTTTCAATGTAAAGATTATTGCCAAAAGCATTACATGTTTGTCTAGATTCAACTTTACAAGACAAAAGTTGGATACCAGAATATCCATACAACTGGCCATGCTTATTGGATAGTTGTTACAGATCTTTTTTTTTAATAACATTTGAGTTTTTTAAATTATAATTTTTAAGAGCAGAGAAATTTGATTTCCAGTTAAAATACTATAAAAAAAAATATTATTAAAAGAAAGAATTAGTGAAATATACAGAAGGGGAGTCGAAAAGTTCTCAGAACAACCAAAAAGCCCTTCAAAAACCTTTTCTAAATTGGTCAGATTTTGAGAAGTGGGTTAGGCTGAGAACTTTTAAAAATTCAACATGTTATACTAGATCTTTAAAACAATGCAGAAATAGTTCCTAATGATTAGCTAATTTGAACAATTTTTCAGGTGGTATATTTTAAAGTTTTGTATGCAGTAAAATATAGAAAGTGGATCATAAATCAATAATGAAAAAATCTAATTTGCAAAATTAATATTCTTAAAAGATACACATTTTAGTTTATGCAACAAAAATGTTTCTTGTCAATACAAAGAATAAATTATAATATTCAAGTATTGAACTAGATTGCCTGTGACATGAAGATATTATGAGAAGTAGTTGTCAGTACTTACCACATCTGGACAAATTCCCTATAAAAAAAATCAAAAAAAAAAAAAAAAAAAAAAATCAAAGAGAAATCATGTAAAAATTTGTTCTTTCTTGTTTTGTTTACTGAGAACAAAAGCAAAATCATGAAAAATTCTTTTAAACGGACAAAATTATAAATTAAACATTTCACATTGGTTATCATAAAATTTCCTCAAGTATCTAAACAACTGTATATTAAATTTAAAAATTATGAAATGCTATATCTGCATTATATCAAAACATTAAAAAAAAGCTCATAACTACAAAATGTGATTTTAATATGGAAGTGTGTTGAGTTGAGAAGTTTTCACCATTCCTCATATCTCAAACTTATTTTATATGACAATTGATCATTGAAGTTATATTATTCTGGCATTCTTGAGAAAAGCATGTAGTGGCAAATCTCTCTCTTGATTTACACAATTTACAATCAGACTATTGTCCTCATCTTTGTTGTTGTTATCACACAACATTTTGGCCTTCATCAGGTATATATTAATCTGGGCTAGTAACTTAATTCTGAACTGGACCCATTATACGATCTACAATGGTATACTATATTCTCATTCCACTGCCCATGTCTAAGGATACTCATCTAGTCCTTATTTTTAGTACTGCTCATTTATTGCTCAACCCATTTTCCCAAAGTCCAACTACACACTGCTCGGCTGTAGGATTGAACTCAAAATTACTTTGTCACCAAATTCATGAACTAATGCTTTAATCCACTTTAACAACAAAGACGAGGACAATAGTCTGAATGTAAATAATGATAAATCCTCATTCAAGAAATTCAGACAGAAATTTCTCTCACTCTCTCTAATATACACAAAAATATATATAAAATTTCAGATATAACTAAAATATATCTGTAAAAATATAATATGAAAAGACAAAAGGAAAACATATTTTAGCTAACATGTTTTATCAGCTGATGAACTTTCAATGGAAATGTAAGGATTTTATTTTGCAACAAAAATTTATAAACAAAAGTAAAAATGTTGTTCGCTTTTCAAAAAAACGTTTATATAAACAGAGTGTTTAACTTTTAAAGTGATAAAAATCTGTCTGATTATTAAAAAAAAAGAAGTTCATTACTTCTTTAGTAAATTAATTTGTTTATGTCTGGATGTGAAACTGGACAGATATATTTCCAAGATATGACAAAAAGGATTTTGCATAAAGACACTGTTCAGGTCTTGCTTGATTGGCAAACTTTTGTATTGGTTAAGGCAACTGGATCTAACAACAGTTTCCCTCTGCTCAGAGGGATGCAGGTTCAAATCCTGCCAGGAATTGCATATTTTTCTTTATTTCTTGAATATTCAAGGCCAGTAGACAAAATAAATAACTATACTGAATAAACAGAACATGTACTCAAATATGATTATCCACTAAAAATAAAGTATAACATGATAAAAATATATATATATATATATATATATATATATATATATATATATATATATCCACACACACACACACACACAATATATTTTCTATTTATATGTTATTCTATAGGTACAATTTATTTAAGTAAATGCTCTGTTTTCAATTAATTACATTTACCGGCCTGAATGTTCAAGAAATTTTGTAGAAAATATTCTTTCTCCAACAGGAATCAAACCTGTATTCCTATATGGAAACCATCATTTGGCCTGACGTGCTGTACCATTCAGCTACAGAGAAGCATCTGGTTAGCAAAGTCCATATAACTGTTCACACAATTTTCAATGATTTTTCTTAATTGATCATTTCTACTCACGAAAAATAGCACGTCGTATCAAATGACAGTTCTGTGTAGGACACAGGTTTGATTCCTGTTAGAGAACATATTTTCTATGAAATTTCTTGAATATTCAGTAAATGTATTTAATACTATTTAATTAAAATACAGAGCATTTACTTAAATAAACTGTATCTATTAAAATAATGTATAAACAGAAAATTTATAAAATAATTGTCGGACTTAGTCCATTTCATTGTATATTGTCATTGTTTATGTTAAGATGTGTTTCATGAGCAAATATGATCGATCAAGAAAAATCATTGGACATTGTGTATTTAAAAACATTAATCTGGACTTAGCTATAGAGAAGCATCTATTTGGCTAAGTGGTATAGCACGTTAGATCAAATGACAGTTCCATGTAGAACAGGTTCGATTCCTGTTGGAGAATGCATATTTTCTACAAAATTTCTTGAACATTCAGGCTGGTAAATGTATTTAATAGTGTTTAATTAAAAAACAGAGCATTTATTTAAATAAATTGTGTCTATTAAAATAACATATAAAGAGAAAATATATATGATAAAAATATAGTATTATGGTATTCTATATTTATGGGTTAAAGTGTTCAATATCAGAGTTAGAGCATATGTAAATATAAAAGTGGACAACAGTGACAGTCTGTTTCATGCATAGACATAAGTACGTGTCATATATATATATATATGTGTGTGTGTCATTCACAGACAGTACTATTTTGCTGATTCACAGCTCCTCAGTGTGACTAGACAACCGAATGCCTCAAGCCCAGATTGTAACCCGATTTGGTGTCAATCAGAGCTTCTACCACTGAGCCATCTTCACTTGACAGAACAAGTCAGCCAAATCTAGCTTATTTTTTTTACAAACGTAAACGTGTGTGTGTATATATATATATATATATATAACACACACGCATGTGCGCACAGATAAATGCTAGTGTTCAGCTCAACTGAAAAAACATATTAGAGAGAAGTATTTTTCCTCAAACCAGCAAATGGTACACTGCAAAAGGAAGCAAAGGAATTTTGATTTTCAAAATTATTCATGAAAAGATGCAGTCATGGACTATGAAACAGGCACAGTTCTACTTGCATTTTAGAATATTAAACTAAATTCTTTTGATTATTATCTTATTATTATAAAACAATAGCAATTCTTGAAAAGTATTTTGAAGAAATTTGATCATTTTTCAATACATGTTGGATTAAACAAAATAAATAATGAATGAAAGTCAATCTCTGTTCATTTATTTATTACAGTCCACTAATCAGTGTCACTACCATTCAAAAGTACAATACTTCTTAAACTAGACTACTTATTTAAGATGACCCAGATAAGATAGAAACTGATTTCAGTGTACTGATACTTATTGGACTGCAGTCATGGAAACTTGTATGGCATCATACTCATTCATTTTTCCATGTCACAGTTGCTTTGTTTTTTCTTGTTTTTGTTTTTTTGCTCTAATTCATAATTATAGGAAAAAAAAAAAAACAAGCCAAAAGAACCCCCCCCCCAAAAAAAAACAAAAGAAGGCGAGATTGAATAGTATTATGGTTTTTCCAATGCATAAACACAAAATGACAAGGGATTAGTTGAAAGCATCTTGTCAATTCCATTTCCTGATATTCTACCCCCACTAAGCTCATGTTTTATGTATAAAGAGATGTAAAAAGGCTGGAGAAGGGAAATAAAAGCAAGTAATCACAGAATAAATGCAGTTAGGGAAAGAAAGGTTTTGTCTTACCTGATCAGTGAATGGCATGTCTTCTTGAGGTACAATCAAGCCACAAACACTGTTATCAAAAAAAAAAAAAATCCACATATGAAATAAATAAACAAATAATGCCATCTTCTATGTCACAGTAGTATCAACTGAATATGGGAATAAATACTGAAAATCGACAACACCAAGTTAGCAAAATATAACAAACAGGATGAAAAAAGAAAAAAAAAACAAACCCAAAGATAGGTCTTATACTTATCAAATACATTATTAAAGTTTTTTGCTTATTTGTAGTCAAAGAATAAAAGAAAATAGACATATTTTTTAAGTCTTTAAGAAAAGAAGTATTTTTTTTTCTTTTGATGGATGTAATCAAGATGTTATTAATTCTTTTTTTTTTTTAATTTATGGAGAAAATATTCATTTTCAGTTCTAAGAAGACATGTAAGTTAAGATGACCTAATGGTTAACAGGAACAAAAAAATGAACCTGGCATGTTGAGTTCAAATTCCAGCTGAGGCAGTTTGTGTTTCTTCTTTTATATGCTGTGTTCCTTCAGGGCATAGACGATCATGGCTCTCCACTTGTCCTTTTGCTACTTTTCCCAAATACTGTTCTGTCATCACTTGCTTAAGCTTGCTATGTATGTCAGGCGTTGCTTTCCCTTATCTCTCTTTCCCTTTATCTGCCCTGTGAGATTCTCCAAGCCCTCCTTTCTCATTAAGTGTTCCAGAAATTTCAGCTGAAGTTTAAGCTTTCTCCTTGTTTGAATCCTCTCCAAAACTTCATCACTGCTCACATGTTTGGTCCATGGTATCTTTAGCATCCTTCTGTAGAATCATACATCCATTGCCTTGAGTCACTAATTTTTTTTTTTTTTCTCTGTATGAGTTCGAATCCTCGTCGTCAAGTGTTGTAGAGTAGTTTCACAGTGGAGGCTTGTATTCCACTAAGTCAGTCCTAAAATAGGTTCGACGTACAAAACATTAGGAACTTGATATAATAGGTAATGACGCAGTAATCTAGTTGTGGTGGCTGATATCTGACTAACGGTCATCCGACATCGACTGACTGACCAACTCACTGAGCGACTGCTACTACTCCTACTTAATATAGGTGGGAGAATCTATTAACAATAGAATATGTGTGTTCCAGTATAACACTGATCGATGAGATTTTTATTTGGTTTAAAAATGGAAATGTTCGACAAAAAATGCTGATTCAGGAAAGTTTCAACTTGTGATATCTTGAAAAACGGTTGGGAATTTTCACTTGGAATGTTTAAGATTTTCTAATGACTACAACATATATCAAAGTGAATAAAAAAAATCTATTTTTTGGAGTTACATTTTCCTTTTTATTTATTTATTTATTTTTTTTTTTTTGGTTGAATTGACATGAATGGAATGACCCATTGGGAATATATCTTCCCCAGATATAAAAAGAAACTCCAGCTCACAGTTCTCAATTTGGGAAATCCCAAAACTCACCATTTCTTGTTTGCAGAATGTCCTTTCATGGGATATAGTACATGAATCCGACCCGCTTGAATCTGGAGTCCTGAACATGTCTTCTCCCAAAACACAGAAGAATCTCTATATGTAAAACCCTATCTTTTCATTCTCCTTTCACTCTGATTGCTGTGTAAATATGTTATATTTTTCTTTGCATGGGACACATGTAAATATGTATATATAGTTTTGTGTACTTATTAGTGGTATAAAAGTCTCTGAGAACAATGTAAGTTTGTCATTCCTTGTCCTCTGAGTCATTCCATCCATGAAACACAGCGTTAATATATCATGGAATTAATAATGCCCATAATGGGGTAAATACAAATGGAAGAATAAATCTGTCTTCCAAGCACTCTCCATTACATTGCTGACCATGATGCAGTATTATTTACCCAACGTGGTATTATTATCATCCATTGCTTACATAATGAAATGGAATTGTTTTAATACCCCCCACCCCCACCAGGTCGATGCTTGGACTTAAGGTAAGCTGTACATTCACTTGTTATCATGAGGAAGAAAGTGGACTAACACTTGCTGCCACGTATGTTGGCGCATTTATTATGACATGGCAATAAATCCGGATAACCTTATTTTCTTCCATTTCTTTTTAGAATAGACAATGGGACTTATACTAAAACTTAATGTTGCAAAAGGGTAGAATCCAAGTGTCAGCCAGGACTCTTTGCAAATTACCTCCCCCTCTCATCGTTACCTCTGTTTTTGTCGTATGTGTTATATGTAATAGGAGTAGGTAGGCTTTCCTACCGCCTGGTCAACACTCCTCCCTCTTCTCTTGGACATGAGTAGAGGCTTGTACGCCTTGTTTCTTGTTTAGGAAGGGGTTCCCGGTACTCTCTCTCTCTCTCACTGGCCTCTGTATCTCCAGTTGCCTTGATCTATCCACTACCCTTCTCCTTCTCCTTTCTTCTATCACTCCTATCTGATCTTGCTCCATATTTTCTGTAACCCCTTGTGTCCTAGTGGCTTTCCGCCTTGCTTGGGGTGAAACGCTTAAAAAAAAAAAAAAAACAACAACAACTTCTTCATCCTCGAGACTATCCAACATTTGTTGCTGTAAAGGAGAACAGATATCCCATAGCAGTTCAGTAATCCTCCTGTCTCATAATACTCTGCCTAGTTTTTGGAATGTGTCTTTGGCCATCCTGATACGTCTTCGGATCTCAGCATCGCACTCTGTCATAACACTTCTTAGATATTTAAATTTTTTGCATTAATACCTTTAAAGAAGTAAGAAATTAATTTCTTCTTCTCTTAACTAAGGGTAACCTAGGCTCTCTCTAGTTTTGGATAGTGACCAATCTAGAAAAAAGAAAAATTGAATTCAAACCAGGACCCAAGCCTGGGTATAAAGAAAGAAAGAGAAAGTTGAGAGTTAGGCTAGCAACTCCATAAAAACTTACTTGTTACTCAACCTGCAACATCATCCCTCATGCATCTTTAATAATGTTAAATACAACTTCCATAATTGTAAAATTGTAAACATGCTGGATCATTTTCATTATATTTGGCTTTAGGCATGCATTTCATTCAAAAGAATTAAATTACATATTTTACTGAGAAATCTTTGTGACTTAAAACCTGGATTGAAGCTTGTTACTTAGATATTTCACCGATATAAAAATGAACAAATACCCAGTGATTTAAAAAAAAACATTAGATTATTAAAAAAAATACTTTTTTATCTATAAATTACTGATAAAAGCAAGTTATTTTTAATCGAGGTTAATAAAGTTAGCTTTTGGAATACATTTGTACTAATTTCTGTGTTTTAATATATTCAGAAATTTATTTCAAATACTACTTTTATAATCTATATATTTCTTTTAGACATGTTTTTAACTATTTTACTAATACTAAAATGTTAATAATTAACAAATTATTATTTTTAATTTAATATCGCGATGATGATGTATCATATTTATTCTTCTTCACTGAAGGTTCATCATTTTTATCCATCCAAAGTAGAACACACCTAATTTTTCACTCACCAATTCTTGGTTGTGAAAATATAAACTGTCCAACCATAGAGGGCTGCCGTCAGGTCAGAATCTCTCTCATTAAAAGCAGAAAGATTAGAGTCAATCTCTGGTGCTTGAGGCATCCCAAAAGGGAAATGCCTAGGAGGCTTGACTATTTTTTTCTCTTAGTCCAATGTGTACATGAAACTCGAACTTTAAACATGACCTTGTGTCATATTCTGTTTCATTGAACACATGGATAAATATATAAATATATAGTATAACACACCCAAATTCGAAATTACAAAAGTAATATTTGACATAGTCATTTTCATGACTTTTGTTGAAATCTTAAAGGGCTTCACAGCACAAAAAATAATGAAGATTTCAAATAAAAAATGAATACAGATACTTATTTACATTACTTACATTGTTTGAACTGATGTCTTCCTGTTCGTTGTCATATTTATGACATTTTGGCCGTTGTACGCACTGTCCTTCTTTAAATGATTGGAATTTCAAATATCTCAGTTTCAGTTATTTCCCTTTAACTCAATTCTCTAAGAGGACACATGGTCCAGTGGATAAAAGCATTGGTTGAAGTAATCCAGAGACTTCACCCAAAAAGTTGTGAGTTCAATACCTAGCCACAGCAGAGGTGAACAAAAACTTGGAGAGTTGAGTTAAAAGAAAATAACTGAAACTAAGATATCCAGTAGAGGCATGGCATGTGGAACTAGAACAATCTACCCTGGTGGATGAAATAAAGGGTTTGATTCTAAAATCCAATCATCTGAAGAAGGCTGGAGCAGACATGGTTGAAATGTTGTGAATGAAGACCACCCCTCAGGCCATCTGGTGTACATTTAGGGGAGATAGGATTATATAAAATAGTAAAGACTGGTAGTCTAAAGAAAAGGCTTATCTCAATTGTTACAGGCGCCACCATAAGTGCTTTATATGAAGTCAAGGTTACCATGCTAACAAATATGGTATAAAGTAGTTGTGGCATAACAGAAGGGATTCATCACACACTGCCACAAATTGACATGTTCCTTTTACAGGAAAAACGATTTTTTTTACTTCTCTCTTTATTTAGAACACATGTTTGAATTAAATCTGACTTGTGTGTATGTAATTTTAAAAAGGAGTTAAATACAGAAGAACTTATTAACATCAGCAGATGCCGATTTGTAAGATTTGTAGGTTTGGCTTGAAAGACTATAGGGCCTCAAATGCAAACCTGACCTCAAGTGGAACATACATATTATTTTTTTTTTTTTTTTAAGCATTTCACCCCAAGCAAGGTGGGAAGCCACTAGGACACAAGGGGTTACAGAAAATTTGGAGCAAGATCAGATAGGAGTGATAGAGGAAAAGATAAGGAGAAGGATAGTGGAAAGATCAAAGCAACTGGAGATGTCGATTGACATTACATTTGAATAGTTGGAGATTATAGCTCTCAGGGAAACTGGAATAAGGAAGGGAGTTCCACAGGTGAGAGGTGCGAGACATGAAGCTATTGGAGTAGAAGAGACGGCTACATTTAGGAGTTTCAACAGTGAAAGGGTGGG